ATACTATAGGAAACTCATCAAACTATACCTCATAGTATAACTTCATACACTGTAGCCTTCTTGTCTCCAGATCCAGTAACAATAAAACGATCGTCAACTGATATGTCACAGCTTAAAACACTACTGCTTTCAGACATCTGTATGTATAGAATACAATCATTATTTCATTGTACATTAATGTATAATTATAAATAAGACTACACACACACATAATAATAGTAACAAGTACAAATACCACTGTACAGTTAATGTTAATAATAATGGCTAACTGTCATTTTCCTTCTGTAATGCTAGTGACTCATCTTTACTTTTAGCAAGAGTGCTCTTAGTTTCAACTAATGACTCCTTTAGTTCTATTACACAATGTATGATGTTAACATTAGCTACACTAACTGTCATTTTCCTTCTGTAATGCTAGCAACTCATCTTTACTTTTAGCAAGAGTGCTCTTACTTTCAGCTAATGACTCCTTTAGTTCTATTACATTATGATATGTGTACAGTATAAACACAATGCATGCATGACTTTAGCTAAACACTAACTGTCAATTTCTGAATTTTGTTCGCTTTCTTTTTCTAACAATAGCAGTTAATAAATCTATGCAATGAACAAGTACTAACTTTGTGATTGTAGCTCTTCAATCTCCCTTTTACTAGCAGTTAATGACTTCTCAAGTTCTGCAAATTATATATTAGGCATACGTAACATAATGTGTAACTATATACCAGCGTTAGAGTCCTGTAGTCTTTGAATCACCACTTTTAATTTTTCATTTTCATCTGTTTAAATTAATTATTTTTGCTATTATTATTTTTGTTACCAGTTGTTTCTTTATTAACTTTTTCATCACTTAAATCTTCTTGGCCTATGTAATGACAATTATACACATCACATATAAATTATGATTAATTACTTTTTCGTTTAATAACTTGTGAATCCATAGCTGTTGCCATTGCTTGCATTATTTCTTTATTTCCTGTATGTTTAGCTAACTCCAGTGCCTTGTCTCCATTACTATCTTCATAGCATGGATCAGCTCCTAATGACAGCAACAGTGATACTTCATAGACCTCACATAACTTGACTGCTTCAATTAGCGACTCATTGAAGTTAACATCTTTTTCATCAAGAAGTATGTCGCCATTTATTGAAAAGTAAAATACACCAACTCGATGCATTGATTCAGACTTTGACTTGACAGCAGTGGTAATGTGAGCAATGGCAGAACATGGTACCAGATAAGAGATGCATACTGACCCTGGAGTGATTTGAAGATAATTGAATACATCTTCATCTTCAAAGTAATGCCTTAGAAATGACTCCAAGTCATTTATGATCATCTTATCCCATTTTCCAATTAGCTTGATGACAACTTTGCAACTGGTATCTGAGCCTTCTGAGGGATTGTAGTTTTCTACATTTTCTATTGCGTATTGAAGGTCTTGGAGACATTGTGAGTGCTTAAAATGATTCATTTCTTCAACATACACTTTCATATCTTCTTGTAATCGGCTTGATTTGTCAACGTGCTTATTAACGATAGCTTCTATCAATGAACAATTAAGGAAAGAATAATGATCTTGAATGTAATTGAACAATGTGTCAATGGACACTTCATCTGGGATGCCTTCACTGAGCTTCCATTTTTCTTCTATGAACTCTACACGTACAACTTTACCAGCTTGAAGCTTTTGATGCTTCACTTGGTCCGCTAGATGTCCATGAATTTTGTCTACAAGAGCTTCAAACCTTGTTATTAATTGGCAAAAATCTATGTGAGTTACAGAACTTGTAACGTATATAATTTAATAATATTAATCACATGTAGGCTTATATACAGTTTACACAAATGGCTGCATACCTTTAACTTTTTTAACTTGAGCAATCTTATCAGCCACATCTCTCAATCCCATCTCTTCTACAGCAGCTTTCAATTTCTCCAGTGAAGGCTTACCATACTTATCAACATCATAATTCCACCTCAGCCAGTGAGCTAGACACTTTCTAAGACATGTTTTCACATCCTGAGGATTATTAGCTCCAACTGTATCAAGCTCTTTCTGACTGATGTGTAATTTAAGACCTAATTCAACCCATCTGTGATCTGAAAATTCACTCTTTTCTAATGTACTGATAACCTCACCAAGATCTTCAATACCTGTTAACAGAGTTTTTAGTAACACCCACACAATAAGTAACAAGGACACAAACCTAAGTGATCATTGATTTCTACTCCAGTTTCTCCTCTAGCAGTAGCCATATTTGGTAAGTGGGTTAGTGGTATTATGGTGGTAACTAAGTAACGGTAGTGTTGGTATGCCAATGAATATGATTTAAGATCAGCAAAAAAAATTATTGATAATCAAAAGCAACAAGCAAGATATGCACACTATTCTTTTATTTATAATAAATATATATAACTATAATATTATACCAGCATTGGAGTCCTGTAGTTTCTGAATCTCCACTTCTAAGTTTTCATTTTCATCTAGGGGGGGTATTTAAATTTGATTATCATAGTCATTTCTTTTTCTAATATTATTACTTTCAAATTTTCTATCTTCTTCATCAGATAACTCCTTTTGACCTAATTCATTAATAGTAATTACTACGTGTACAAAATTAGATTAATTACTTTCTAATTCCATAACTTGTGTATCTGTAGCTATTGATATTAATTCTATTATTTCTTCATTCCCTCCCTGTATTGCTAACTCCAGTACTTTGTCTCCATTATCATCTTCATAGTACGGATCAGCTCCCAATGACAACAACAAAGAAACTTCAAATGGTTTATCTAACTTGACTGCTTCAATTAGTGACTCATCAAGATTGATATCATCTTTTCCATCAAGAAGCTCAACATCGTTAATAATCAGCTGAAGTACACCAACACGAGACATAGACTTCAGTTGTGGAGTTGCAGTATCAATGAGATACTGAGAAAAAGAAAGAGGCACTAGGAATGTCACACTTAAGCATCCATCTGTGACACAGACCAAATTAAAAAGGGAATCTTCTTTAAAGTAATGTTTCAAAAAGTCTTTAAGTTTAGCAAGAGTTTCATTTTCCCATTCACCTACCAACTTGATCACAACTTTGCAAGATGAATGAGAATGTGTTAAACGTACATTATCTAAATCTTTCTCAAGTTGTTTTAGCTTTATGGTTTTTTCAAAATTGTCAAGATCTCTTTTGTATGCCTTCATTTTGTCCTTTAAATCCTTGTCCTCATCATTCAGAAAATCACTAACAAAGATTTCTATGTGTTCACAATTGAGATAAGAAAAGTGATCTTGAATTGAATCAAACAAATCATCAACAGAAGCTGTAGTTGCTAGACCTTTAACTTTAGTTGTCGCTCCAACAAATCTGGCAATATCGATAAGCTCTATTACACCATCTTTTATATGTCTGGAAAGTCGCTTAAGGAGTTCGGTTTTAAACGATGCAAACTTTCCTTTTAGATTTTTAATATAATTAGGAGAGTATACTTCAATGATATGCTGAATTTCTTTTGGCGATTTTGCTAAAAAGAAATGTTGCATATACATTATTATCATAGAGTCTCTACACTAGCCTTTACATACTTTGTGACTGAGTGCTTCCCTGTGGATTGATTCCAGAAGCTACAGCTTTTAATCCCATCTCTTCAGCAGCAGCAGCTAATAGCTCCAATGTGGGTAGACCATATTTATAAGTATCATAACTCTGCTGGAGCCAAAGATCTAGACATCCTCTAAGACGTCCTTTCACATCATGAGGATTATTAGCTTTAACTGTATTGAGCTTTGGCTGACTGATGTGTAGCTTAAGACCTAGCTCATTCCACCCATCCTCTGAAAATCCACTCCTTTCCAGTGTACCAATAACTTCATTTAGATCTTTAATACCTGTTAATAGAGGATTAGAGTAACTATAGCAACACACACAAGATACAAACCCAAGATCCTGTCTGGTTGATGATGGATCTGTCTTCCAGGAGTAGACATTAAATTGCTAGCTTATAGAGTTGCTTGTTGCCTTGGACTAGGTGAGGTCCATGTAGAGTTATAGTGTTGGTATTCCAATGAATACCATTATATTAAAGGTCACAGCAAAATAAATATTACTATAGATAGGTTGCAGTAGGCGTGGCCAATCATTACGTCCGCCATGTTGGAGCACAACTTAACTCGGAGTACAAGTGGAATGATAATGTCATGACTTTTGTTAACAATTAGCTTTTTAGGAGCTAATGAGCTGGAGTAGAAACGCTGATCGCTTGACCTAGGTAGCTGCGGCAGTGAGAGAAAAAAAGAAGTAGATGAAGCAATAGTTGACCACTCTGTGACACCTGAAGACCTGAAACTGACTAGACTACTTAGTACTGCAATGACTTTCACACACAA